CCTACATTTTTTAATTAATAGATATCATAACCTTTAATTTTCTCAAACAAGAGAAAATGAACTTACACCACTTTCAAAATAAACGGTCCATATGTTAAATGGTAAGAATTCGGTTAATATTTTATGAATACCAAACGCTTACCTAAAATCTGAATTGTGATTTCTAGACGAACATGGCTGTGAAACGTGCTAATGAGAACTAACCTAACCTCAAAAGGAACGTGTTTCATGGTTCGCCAAGAATAAAAATAGAAACTGAATAGAAATTACATTGTTCACGATAATGTTCATAAGATGCGATCATATATGTTAAATAGTAAGAATTCGGTTAATATTTTATAAATAGCAATCGCTTACCTAAAATCTGAATCGTGATTTCTAGACGAACATGGCTATGAAACGCGACAATGAGAACTAACCTGACCTATGAACATGCTCTCGATTCAACAAGAACGGAAACTACGTTGTCGATGATATTACTCATAACTAGACTGCGTTTCTTTATGCATTTATAAGAAATTGCAATGCGCAAGAAACTACAAAATGCAAACGATATGCAAGAATATAAAAAAAAAAATGAAAGTAAAGTTCACGTTATAATATTTGCAGAATAAAATAAATTCCTACTTAGATTCAATTTTTGTACGCACGTTCGCGATTTTATTTTATGAATTTCAATCACTTAAGGGGGAGTCTGGTCCAGCTAATGTATTTTTCTAATGCATATAATTTCCAGATATAATTAATTTTTGTTATTGAAACTTTTTTTACATATAAAGGGACGTTCAGACAAGAACATTTGACAGTGTAGATTTAATTTGAATGTGGGTATATATATATATATATATGTCCCTTTACATGTAAAAAAAGTTTCAATAACAAAAATTAATTATATCTGGAAATTATATGCATTAGAAAAATACATTAGCTGGACCGGACTCGCCCCTTAACCGAAAATCTGCAACGTAACCTTCGCAATCGATCTAAGTACGTTTAAATCGGTAAAAATTCCCTTGAAAATTTCCGATTTCAACAAGTAACCGGCATTTACGAATTATTAGAAATGGCGAGACTAACCTTCAAAGACAGCTGCAACGAGTGTAACGGCGAACAGCAGGCAAAGCTTCCCGTGACTTCGGTTTCCCATGGCGTTCTTCACGGCGAATCCACTGCCACAAGTCAATTGCACACGTGCAAAACGCCAGAGATGGTTCTGCTCGCAACGAGCATCGTTCGATGGTCGAAATTAGTTCCAGGAGCGAAATTCGTGGTACGTGCTACTCTGTATCAAGAACGTAGTCAACTGCACCGCATTCCCGCACTTTTTTCCCCACCCTTCGATTCAACACGCCGAACGCCAGGCTCTAGTGACAGTTTCTATGAAACTGAAATTTCGTTCGGATTATTGGAAACTGCGTAAAGTAATGGTATCACTTATTTTTTTAAACTCGTTAAAACTCACGGACGCTGTTCGGATTTATTCTGTTTGACATATTACCCTCAGAATTAATTCTGCTAGTGAGAAACGTGGCGATCAACGTGTTTAAATTACCGTTCGAAAAAGCGCGCCCTCTGCTTGCACTAACATTCGCTGCACATGAGAATCCGTGACTTCGAACGTTTCGTTTACAAGTGAGCCACTCGACTCGCGACTTTCACGAGGATTAATTGTCTATAGGACCCGAGTCAAATAAATTATTCGCGTTTTTTATTCCCTCATTCGTCGAGCAATTAACCTTCATCGGTCGTATGCCACCTCGCGACAAAGTACTGTTGTCACGTGAAAAGGTGACTTACTACCGATAGGGGTTAATTCAGTGATGGACAAAACCCTCGACTTCGAATAAATCTGAAGTTCTTTGGAACATTTTCCAAAGAAGGAAACGAGACAAACATATCGGCAAACTTCAGATTTATTCGAAGTCGAGGGTTTAGCCGATCTCTGGGTTAATTTTATTAAGCGCCACCTTTTGGCTAGTTTGAAAGTTTGGCTAGTTATTGCGAAATCTGCCGATAGAGCGATGTTCGATTATGAATCGATTTTTTAGGGCAACTCCACGACTTATGGATATTACACTATATGGTTGGCGCGCGTTGAACGCGTAGCTTCGAAAGCTAATATTTGTGATGCCATAAATATGCGACTGTAACGTAAAAAAAGAAATGATAGCGTAGACTGCGACTTTCTACGTAACATTATTTATTGCGACAGTCTAGGACCTCTACGGATAAATCATTGAAATAGAAAATTGATGGGACAGTAATATACATTGCGATGATTTACAGTGGGTGTAGAATGTATTCGTACACCGATCGATTTACAAAAAAACTTTTGTGCGAAATTGTAGTTTCTTAACTTCTTTTTTTATAGTCAATGATATGTTACATATTCTCGGAAATGTTTAACACGTCGATCGCCATGTCACCCATATATGGGTGACAGTGTCTTTCACTCAAGAACTAAAAAGATTAATTCTGAAAGTTAGACATCACAGGAGATGAATCTAAAGGAAATTCATGAATTTTGATGTAGTTACGAAACTAAATACCACGATAAATATTTCATTACCTAGACTCTGATAGTCTAAATAATATTTAATCTTAGCAGAAATTTTCAAGAATATTCGTTTGGCAGGCAACGTGTTAAGATAGATATAGTCCAAACAACATTTACTAGTTAATATAATTTGTGAAATTAACAAAAAATGTGCGAAAAGTGGGTGAAAGTATAAAAGCAATAAGTATTTGTACGATTCTTATGACGAACCATTTACAGTAGAGTTTCTAACGTAAATACATTAGTTTATTGTTCCGTACGAATTAGAAAACATTAAATTTCCAGGAAATTTAAACGAATGGAACTTTTAAAAAACGAATGGAAGTAGTAATAGAAGAATGGAAGAAGATCCCACTTCGAATAACTAATAATTTAGTTAATTTAATGCTTAGAAGAGTTGCAATAATTATAAAATCAAAAGGAAATCCCACGAAGGAAGTATTATATACTTATAAATTAATGTAAATTTCTTCTTTTTTTCAATCAAGTTTTAAGAATTAAACAGTTGTGCGAATGCCTATTGTTTCAATATTTCTACCGATTAATTGCTTTTTTCTTGTTAATTTCGCAACTTACATTAATAGCTATTTTTTTGTAATTTATCTATTCTAGAGATTTCCGAGAATACGTAGAACGTCATTGTTTATAAAAAATAAGTTAATAAATTACAATTTTACATAATTTTTTTTTGGAAATTGATCGGTGTACGAATACTATCAACACCCACTGTATCTCGAAAATAAAATAATATCCGTAATAAACTTTGCGCGCAAGACAAGTTACCACCATCGTTGTTTATTTACGTCAACCTTCCGCGATCTAGATTTTTCCAATTTTTCCACGTAATCTAATTTATCTCCATCCAACTTTCAACCTAATCACCGCGATTCGAAAACGGATACTATCTGTATCTCAGAATCGAGCATCGCCAGGCGCGAAACAGCATCCGGTTAGCGGATACCTACTAGTGTAAATGAAAAAAACGCGGGAACACTCGATTCTTACACTCGATCCGCACTGTGTCAACCAATTCACTGATCACTTTCGAAAGATCGAACGGGAACAGATCAACACGTGTCCTCAACAGTCATTGATAACGGAGCACGTCTTTGAATAGTTCAACGACCACGGATCACTAGAAGTCTCATCGAACCGTGAGTAACGATATACAACGAACTCACAATTGTCGAAACGATCGCTGCGTTTGAACAAAGGTGACAGCGCGGTTGTCACCAACGTCGCGATCGAGAACGCACAAAGGGAACGCGACGATACACCCTCACCCTTCGACGTATCGCGCGATACTGGCCGACCCTCGCCGCGGCCAACACGGTTGAGCGCGGAGATGGCGCTGCGGTGCCGCCCCCGAAACGTTTGATAAAGGAGGAGACGCCGGCATTCGGGTCCATTCGGCTCTGTGGCCCGCTTGCAACAAGTTGCAGCGCGTGGCTCTCGAGCTGCACGCTCCGGGAACGTGCATTCATTGAATGCAGTCGGCACGTACGCGCTTGGCATAACGAAGTGCAATCGACTGGCGAGCGGCCTCCCCGTCGAACGCAGGTGTAATAAAATTAAAATGACTGCTTCCGCGTTCGATGGACGCACGACTTTTGGCGGCGGAGAAACTTTGATCGACGGAAATCCTCGCGCGCACTGACTCGCGACTTACGCGCCATTTTTTAACACCAAAACGTAGATAGTTTTAACGTTAAGGGGGTATCCTGAATTAAGAGGTCTTATATAAGCGGTTTTTCGTGAATTTTTTTAGGATGAAAAAAAATAATTTAGTCTATCGAACTTTTTATACTATTTTCATACATATTTGAGTAGTCTGTAGACATTTTTTCAACAAGAAATTTTCAAATTGAGCCGACTGTGACGCACATTCGTAGGGCACCTCAAATGTTCATTTTCGTACATTTTTCTTCCATGCGAACTAAGAAAAACCAGAAAAAAAATGGTGAAATGTGAGATTACTTCAAGTTTGTAAAAAAGAACGAGTTCTTTGGGTGAAAAAAATTACTTTAACTTGATAAAAAAGTTGTTCAAAATTTGTTTTGTATGAATTTTCTTAGTTCACATAGAAGAAAAATGTATGAAAATGAACATTTCTTTTGGTTTTCTTGTGTCAAATCAAAATTTTTTGATTGCTGCGACTGCATCTTTCCCGCCGATAGGAGGTATTAATTGTGAGGCGCCCTACGAATGTGCGTCACAGTCGGCTCAATTTGAAAATTTCTTGTTGGAAAAATTTGTACAGACTACTCAAATATGTATGAAAATAGGATAAAAAGTTCGATAGACTTAATTATTTTTTTTCATTCTAAAAAAATTCACGAAAAACCGCTTTTTTTAGACCTTGTAATTCAAGATATCCCCTTAATACGCCTCATATGGGTGTTTCTATACATGTTTGCAGTACGAAGCCGACTTTATTCATCATGACGTAAACACTAAGACGAGTAAATATGATTTCATAGTTTATTATCTTGGTTTGCCAGGACTTTCGGTGTTCGTCGTTAACGAGCCATCGGAGCTGTAGTGAACGTTCTGCGTGTTTGCAAGTTATGGTTATTATCTATGCGTATCATCTTTGAAAAAATTCAATTATTTCTAATACACACCTTGATAGGTGTACGCTGCTTGCGGAAACTTGAGAAAGTCGCTGAAACGGATTTGGTGAATTTTTTTCTTCTGCGATTGAAAATACGTTTTCGTTAGAGATCGAGATAAACGTGATTGATTAAAGTTCATAGCGACACTCACTGGTAACTTCTGCTGCTGTTGCTAACGTCTACCGTATCCTTGCTACTGTAACTGATGGCGGCTAGACATCGTTCTTCGTCCGTGAGACGATCCTGGCAGTCTCCGCGACATCTGCCGAACTTGCTTCGCCAGTAATCCCTCCACTTCTCCATCATCCCTTTGCGTGGGCTTTTTGGGGTGCACGTATCCTCCTCGCAGTATTCCCCATTTTTATACAAAACGGCGACGCTGAAGCAAAAGTGATGCACCATTGCAACATCTCGTCATAAAATACAAAAGTATTTCATGAAAAATTCACGCATCATCGCCTTTTTGAAATTCGGTGTTCATTTACAGGCATTCAAAGGAACAGATAATTCTAAAGGAATATGTCGTCATATTCAGAAAACACTCCTCTATCGTTTAAGACTAAATAGAACTTTCTAGCGTTCGTAGTTTCTCAAATAGTACTACGTTTTCTCTAAGAATCGACCGTTTTTACAAAATCTCGTATTTCTCGAAAACTAACGGTAATGGAGCAATTTCACTTTCGGATTCGTATTTAGGACGAGGAACCCTATAAGAATCACCTAGTGGATATCGCGGAAAAAAAAATCGTGTTGGACAGTGGTAATCTCCGCCCAATCCGCACCTATTTTGTTTTTACATACTCCTTGCTTATCTCGACGATAAGTATAGACTGTCTAGTGTGGTGGCACTTCCTTGACACTAGTTTGAGAAAATAAGCGCTCTTCGCAAAGATTATTTGAATTCTCTTCAAGATACTGACTTCCAACCTTGAGACGGACGCTCGACCCGAAGAGTTAATTAAATTTAATCAGCGCGCTCCTCGCGAAAATTAACGCGATGATAACTCGACTGAACTCACGGAGGATGCACCGCATCGCAGGGTCCGCACTCGTCCGAGTGCTTCACGAGGAATCGGTAGCACACCAGGCTCAGACCGACCAGCAGCCACACCAGCAACGCGCTCACCACGGCAATCGATATCAATTCCGTCGTTCCCAGCGTGACCTCCGTGTCCTCCTCTGGGCCAAGGAGGAAACAAACCGTTAGAAAGCGAATCGTTCGACGATTTAAACACTCCAAGAGGAATCGCGGTTTTCACCTTTGTAAAGAGGCGGCACGGCTTCCTCGGGTTCGTCGATCGGTGGCGCGCCTATTTTGGGCATCATCTGATAGGCGCCGCTTTTTCTCCACGTCGCGAGACCGGTTCCTGCTCCTGGAACGGAAAACGTTGTTAGAGCGCTAGGAAAATCGTAGACGAGGAGATGTACCTGATTGCTCCAGCGTCGAGATGACCCTCAAAACGCCACCGAACGCTGGGTACCATTTCTCGTCATCCAGGTGTGGTCGAACCTGGAAAGGATAATATATTAGTCTCAATATTATCGATCAAAGTGAGAGTTACTGTGTTTATCAATATGAAATTCTTTTCAATGAATTGGCGAAGCTCTGACGATTAAAATGACCCCAAACACGATCCTAATCGGTTGAACTCGAATATCATGACGCCATTGTTACGCTATTATGGCGCCATTGTTGCGTCATGATATTCGACTTCAACCGATTGGCGTCGTGTTTGGGCTCATTTTAATCGGGAGAACCTCGCCATTCCCATGGTAATCCTTCCGTAAAAATATCATGAAAATTACGATGACTCTGTTAGTAATACTCATTTTCAATAATTGATTAATAAAGTTTGCCACTTTCGATCACAGCGACTCACAACGTACGGATTGCTGCAGCCAGTTGTAGAGGTCCTTATTGAACGCCTCCAGCTCCTTTTTCGTTTTCGATTTCGAAACGATGCACTTCACGCTCGCCACGTAATATTTCACCAACACGAAGGCTGATTCTTCGGAGTACAAAGACTGCAGGCTTTCTCTCTTGAATGGCAACGCGATACTAAACGGAGACTATGTCTTATTATAAACGGAAACGATTCTTGTTTGTCGGTCCGAGTACGAAAAAAGGTTCGATAATCTGATACCTGTTCGGCTCAACCTCGTCATCTAAAAATGGAAGGGGAATGGCGTACGATTCTTCGTTCTTCGAAGATCCATCTTCTGTTTATATTGTTTAAAATTTGTAAAAATCAAAAAGTACACATGTACAAATTCTGAGTTAATCGCGAGTGACTCACCACGATCGACGCTTTTGGACGACTTGTGTTTCATTGCTCTCTTCCTCTTCTTGACTTTGAAACGTTCAAGCTCTTGTTTACTATGATCGACTGAAGCTACGGAATAAATAATAACAAAAGTGTTAAAGATAAAGAACCTAGCCGATTAAGATGGTCAAAACTGCCCTTAGAGCTTTTTCAATAGCTCTTGAATCATTCGA